TTTAACTAATGCACTGCTACATGCTTTGTTTCTTGGTTTTTGTTTTGTTTTGTTTTTATATATACCTTATGCAGGACTTCTCTTTTTTCAGCCTGGGAGAATGTAACAGTTCTCAGGACTTGACACAGTCATGCCACAAAATTGTCAGTCCCAAAGCTTTTCAAAGCTATATGATGTGGGAGCTGAGATATTTTTAAGCACAAATAGGTTCAATGGAGATAATATAGGCTGACAAATTAACTCTCATCTTCCTTGCCTTTTGTTTTTATAATGAGCGCTTTCAGTTCCAGATTCTAGAAGTAACTTTTAGATGTTTTAGTCTTTTATTCCAAAATTCTGATTTTCATTTTAAGAATATAGATTGATTTAATCCTAAACAGGCAAACTGTTCTGAATCGTTTTTGGATTCAGAAATTATCAAAATGGAGTTATCCTTCTGATAACCTCGGCAGAATTTTCAGTGCTTTTTATTTATGGTAGAGATATCTAGTTCTCAAACAAATGATGATTTAATAAGACTGCTGGAAACTAATGTTTGTGTTTGTAATTAGTAAGTGATCAGGGAGAAAGAGAGAGAAGATGTGCTAAAGCCCCGATTTGCTATCACAGAATCACAGAATGGCCAGGGTTGGAAGGGACCTCAAGGATCACAAAGCTCCAACCCCCTGCCACACACAGGGCCACCAACCTCCACATTTCATAGCAGCCCAGGCTGCCCAGGGCCCCATCCAACCTGGCCTTGAACACCTCCAGGGCTGGACGGGGCATCACAGCCTCTCTGGGCAAGTCTAGGCAATCTTCCATACTCAGATATTTTGAGGAAAAGCCCAGGCTCAGTTGTCTCCAAATGTCACTCTTTAAAACCATGTCCTCCACTGCTCTCCATGCGTGTCCAACTGTACTGCCTTCAGTTCCATGTCTGTACAACTGAGACAGAAGTATTTGGGGGCTGGTTTGGCTGTTGATCTGCTCCACCCTTTCTGTAACTCTTTATATTTTTCCTTCTTTTGAAAAAAAATGAAAATAAAAGACCTGAGAAATGCTGAATGCTTTGTGCTTCTTGGACCATAAGGAAACTTTTCATAGCACTGAAGAGTTGAGCAGTACGTGCCCAGCCACACAGCCTTTATCTTTGTCGACACACCTGAGTTTCTCTTGCTTATGTATGCTGTCACTTGCATACAGTTTTGCAAAGAGTTACTTCCCTGAAACAAAGAACAGCATATAATTTGAATGGTGCCTGAATAAGGGAAGGCCTTTTATTCCATTTCTAGTTATAATAAAGATGAGAAGAGGACTAAGTGTTTGGATTATTTTAATATCAGTGTTTTCAGTACTGTCCATAGAGTCGGTTTATTTGTGTTCTTTGCTAATTCTCCTCATCCCAGGCCTATTAACTGATTTTAAACTTTCTCCCTCTCCAAATGTGGCTCTACAAGAATCTACTTGCAGTTTGTTGTTTTTTTTTTTAATTATGTACTGGGAAGCATGAATCTGTACTTCCCAAGGAATAACCGCATTAGCAGCCATTTATGCATTCTATTTAGTCTTCTACCAGGCTAATGAATGTATGGCTTCCCATCAGCATAGACATGCATCCAAACAGTGCTTTGCCTCTCTTTCATGCAGGTTAGCGTAAATAGTGGGGAAATAATATGTGGGAAATATGAAATATGTTTGCTGTTCACACTTAAGTACAATGTATTTAACCAAGTTAGTGCATGCAGTAGAGCTGAAGCGATTGGTCTTCAAAAATACCAAAGGCAGACTGCTTTTTCCAGGTTGCAGCTAGAATATTTAAGAAACTTAGTAAGAAGCAATAAAGTTCATAACCACCTTATGCAAGAATGATCCAGGATATTCTTCTTTAAAGTGTTGGGATAAAAAAATGATATGGCTGTGAGACCAAGTAACACCAGTGATGTTTTGAGTCCCAGTGTAGTACATGAACTTGTTTCCTGCTTAGAGACAAAAGAACATGGTACATCCAGGATACGTTGTTCAACTAGGCAGAGTAGTTATTGGGTGAAAGGTTGTGGAAAAACAGCTGGGGAAAATAAGCATTCCTTTGGTGTGAGAGTTCTTCATGTGCTCTTGGTCCCTTCTGTAGGGCAGCAAGGGAGAAGACAGCGCCAGATGGAGCTGAGCTGACCCCATGTGCTAACTGCCTCACCGCTGATCCTGGGGTTCAGTTTGTAACATCTCCCATTCAGCATCATGCCATGCAAGAAGGAACGGTTCTGTGCTTGAGTGCAAGGCAGGAACTTTTTTGGTGTCACATAGGCATTGGAGGAGATTGCAGATTCCCAGTAATGCTCGGGGAAACTCAGCTCTTATTCTCTTGACCTCTGCTTTGTTCTAGCATAAAATACTCGGTGTGAAAACTACGAAGGCACTGTCTGTGATAAGAGCAAACATATATAACTGAGTGTCCCTGTCTCAAACTTCTCTTCGTCAAATTTTTTGTCAAAAAACCAGCTGATGATTCTGGAGGAGGAAATTATTCAATGCCCTTAGGAAAAGATTGGGAATGTTTTTCTCTTTAAGTTGCAGTAAGGTGAGTGGCAAACCATGGCATTTCCTGGCTTTCAGCTTTGCAGATGGCACAATAGCTGTCCAGTCATAGTACAGCAGGGTGAGGTGGTGGCTGATGGCATCAGCAGTGAGAGCTGAAACAATGGGAATTTCAGGGAGTGGGATGAAGTGCTTAGACAGGATTAGATGATATCTTCCAAAACGTGTCTGACATCTCTTTCCAGAGAAACACAGGTTAGCCACTGTGATAAAAAGTTGCAAAGAGTAATGGGAGATAGCTGATGTTGGTGAATGGAAGGAAAATATACCTGCAAATTCTGCTTAGGGCTATATGTATACCATATAATGTAGCACAAAGCTGTCCAAATAAATATAATGCAAACTTACAGTTCAGGGAATAGATTTGAAATAACCTGAATTTTGCACTTCAGTTTTAGTTGGACATTTAACATTTTCCCTTGGAACTTATTTTAATATTTAGCTCATTTTGTTCCTTCATAGACACAATTCTGCTGATAGCAAGAGTGGAACAACATCCTTGGAAATACAGGCTAGTTAATCAACAAGGTGTTTTTTGTTTTGTTTTGTTTTTTAACATATGGTTATGATTCATTCTTTAGAAAGAAATTCTTTCAGAAATTGAGAAGGCAGATAATGTAAATTATTACATTGTTTCCTTAATTAAAAATATGGAAATTTACTTTTGAACAGGGAAATCTGAGCCTCCCCAAACGCTTTTGCAATTCATTTGCTAAAGCAAAGTAAATAAATTAAAATTATTCACTGCTGAAATATGTAGATACAGTTCTTTCCTATAACTTTACTGAAGCAATTACGTAGAAGTTTTCTTAGTTTTCAATGCCTTTAATCTCAGAGGGTGCACTGGCCAACCACTGAGAGAGAGGGAAACAACTGTTCCAAAATTAGAAGCCTTTGTTCTCAATTTGGTCATTAATTGTAGGTATTATGATAATTAACATTGAAGAAACAAAATAATGCATGTTGTTTGTAAGGTTACTTATTGGGCTACATCTCTCCTGTGTTAATTCCAAATTAGTATAATGCAAAACCTGACATGGATTCAGTTAATCTTTCTTATTTAATCTGTTTTATTTCTCTGTGTTGATACCATCTTTGCCCATGCAGACAGTTGTATAGGTTTTTTTTACTAACTGTGCCTATGTTCTGTGTTTCGTGTACAACCCATATTTCAATCAAGATATTTTAACAGTTTTCCAATGTGTTTCTTTTATGTCCACATCTCAGTGCTCTAGCAAGACTTTACTTAAACAAAACTAAGATTAAGCACAGTTTTGATCTGTTCAAGGCAGATAAAGAGTTGCTTTGCCCTCTATCTTCCACAGATGATTGATAAAGATGGGTCGGAAAATTGCTGTATTTCACACATCTCATAGACGTAGAAGCACACTGCATAAGTGCAATGTTTGTCATCCCCCTGCTTTTTCAGCAGTACAAAACAGTCTGCACTATCAGAAAGTCTGTGATAAGTTCTGTTCCAAGTCTGTGTCCACCTATCTGCAGTGCTTGTTTTTTCAAGCAAGAAATGTTTGTATTTGAAACTTAAGAATTAAATACCTGTTCCTTTCTTTTGCTCCTTTGTTTGTGTTCATAAGGTATTTGTCATTAGTAGATACGTGTGATGGTAGCAGAAGAGAGGATTCAAACCATTCTCTTACAGCCATCTTCAGCCTGTGCCTATAGGCTATTGTGATCTGTTGAATGCTGTTAAATGTTTCAGAAAAGCTGGCAAGGAAATGTGAACTTATTATCAAATAGACTTCAATGCAAATTTGCGATACAAGGAGCTTACCTCTTCTCCAGAATGGTTTAGGAGAGCAGCTTTTGAAGAAGAATGGGCAAACAGGAATTATGGATGCTGCTCGAGATGTACTGTTTGTGTATAGTAGCACATGCAATATTGTATTTCCATTCCGCATTCTCTTATAAATGTGCAATCTTTGTGTGTGTGTGTGTAATAATTTCACAGATTAATTGCGCTTAATATTATCTGAGCTTTCAGAACAATTATTTTAAAATTATTTTAAAGTCTTTTTTATGGACTTTGGAACTGTCCACTACATGAAGAGAACCATATTATGGCCAACGTACATTCTTTGGATAAAAATCTGAACTGCTGCAATGTTTAGGCAGGTATCACAGCATGGCCTGGGTTGCAAAGGAGCACAGTGCTCATCCAGTTCCAACCCCTGCTGTGTGCAGGCCGCCAACCAGCAGCCCAGGCTGCCCAGAGCCACATCCAGCCTGGCCTCGAATGCCTGCAGGGATGGGGCATCCACAGCCTCCTTGGGCAACCTGTGCCAGTGCCTCACCATCCTCTGGGGGAAAAGCTTCCTCCTCATATGCAACCTAAACCTCCCCTGTCTCGATGTAAAACCATTAGTTTAAAACCAGGTAGTAGACATTCCTTCACTTTTCACCTGTAGGAACTTCCAGCCCCTTTGCCTGATGATAACTTCAAAACTGAACGAGTAGAAGCGACAGCTGCCAAGTCTGAAGATTGTCAGGACTCTATGCAAATAGCCTGGCGCTACCAAAATGCACCAAAAGTGGAGGTAAGTCTTTGGTATTTCACAACTGTTCCTCTTGCAGAGCAAGTGTTTTCCAGCACAGGACAGTGCTACATGATTACCTCCTGAAAGGAAAGTAAATCATCCTAGAACGATATATATATTGATTACTAGAAATACGGAGAGAAAAGGAATTTGAGAGTTTACAGGAAATGTAAAATTTAATATAGACAGTAAAAATGTAGAAGACAAATGAATTGCTTTGGGATTTTTCAATGAGCATTATTAAAAAAAGCTGGAATGATTTGGTCACTAAGAAACTTCTCCTAGATGTAGCAGTACACAAATGGCTAATGAAGGTTTGATGGACAGTGCTTACTAGATCTCTTTAATGCAAGCATTGTGTTGAAGCAAGCTGTTGACTTGCTTAGCCATGTGCATAACAACTAAAGTAAGCACTTGAAATTATATCAACTTCACTGTCACTAGAAACTAATCGCTGTGCAGGGAGAATACAAGAAACAAGCACAGTGGTCAGTCATTCAGAGTTTACAGCTGTTAGTGTCTTGTGAATGATGTATTTCCTGTGGCTGGTGACTTTCTTATTTAATTTAATGGCATAATCAACTTTTAATAAAATTACAGCATTTTTGACTATCCGGAACAGAAAACTTGTTTTGCCTATATGTTTTAGCCCACATGTTTCATAAATTCTAGTTTTAGTCATAACTGCCTAGTAAGTTCAGTCATATTCTTAAAAACATAATTGGAATGTGACAAAATGATCTTATAAGGCTTGGCATGTTTGGTTTTCTGTGAAATTGCACAGACATGGCTATATAGTTGTGTCAGAAAAGACTTATATATGGTGACATGCCAAATCAAACAGCCTCCAGGGTAATCATATAATCTCATCAATTTTATTATTGTGAAGCTTGCTGTGCCTCTTTGAACCATCCCCAAAATAAACCGTCTGATTTGAAATCTAACAGAACTCCTGGTACATTGATATGGAAAGAATTGCACGTGGTCAACAAGTAGTGTTCTGATGTTCTAACAAAACAGAAAAACAAATAATTTGGCTAGGTGTGTACTCACCCTTGGTTATTACTCAATCCAGTACTAGAGCATTTTCCAATACAATACCTACAGTATTTGTCCACAATTATTACAATTTGCTTATGCAAAATAGAGTGATCAATCTTTGGCAGGGTGTTCCCCTTGTTATTGCTGAAGCTTTTTTAAATTGGAGTATGATCATTCTGAATAATTGATGTGCAAAATTTTAATGCGTAGATTTCATTTTGAAAAAATAAAAAAGTCTGGTTCTTAACCTTTCTGTGTTAAAGATACTTCAGAATATTCTAGTAGAGTGGCAGGAATACTTCATGGAGAATTTTTGATGTTGCCTTACATGTTGCCTGGATGGTTTACAGTACTCGATAATATCGTTTATTTAATTAACAGCTTTAGCTGTAATTAATTCTTTAAAATTTTGTTTTAGCAGAAAAAAAAAAACAACAATGAATAAAATTTGAAGGCATATTTTCCAAATGGATCGAGCTAAGAAATTAGTACATTTTTAAAAGCTACTATCAAAAATTTTCAAGCATGAAAGTAGTCGTACTTCTAACTGGAACTCTGAACATGTTAGCAGAAAACTTTTCTGTCCAGGATCTGGCTGTACGTGTAGTAAGAATGCTGAGTAGAAGTTGTCTTGGTGGTAGTCTTGATTTAGTTTTGTTCTGATTTAGTTTTTATTTGCAAGTAATTAAGAGATAATTGTTAATAGTTTAGACATTAACTTTTCTTTTGCTACACCTCTTAGGAGCCAGCTAGGTGAGTGGCCTTTGTGATATTTATGCCTGATAATTACATCAGACCTCTTCATAATTGCCACAACTGCTTTTTACATGTTTTGGTACCCTGGATATCAGAAACAGATAGATGGTTTATCAGAAGTCTGTCAGAGTAACAGATCTTGTTTTGCTTGATGTGCCATTGCCACTTTGTTAGCTTTCATCTGTTCCAGAGGTTAATTTAAACTTCTGACTATATGGATAGCCTGTTTTGCAATGCAAGACTGTGTTTTTTCTTTTTCTTTTTTTTTTTTTTTTCTGAATGAACTGCTTATGTTCTTGGGGCAATATATAAACTGTCACAGCATGAAATCAATTTTCTGCCTTGATTCATCCTAAATCTGAGATTTCTAGCACATTAGTATTGCAATTAGAAACATTAACAGCAGACGGTAGCATAAAAGCACACTCTGCTCACTGACAATTTAGTGTATTTCTCCTTGTGCAAAACAGGAGCCCAGAAAAGAACAGGCCTGAGCCTACAATCCACTAATAAATTTATCACGTCAAACTTAAGAGGAATGGAAAGTTTCTGCTTCACGCTCTCCATGGTCATTCTGCTAAGGCAGATTATTCATGCTTACTTGATTCAGGTAGGCTTTTTGCAAGCTTCCCCACTAAGCCTGGGAATGCAGTACATTGAGGCCTATTCATAGGCTTCTGGCATAGCCCGAGCTTTTATTGCATGGTGTTTTATTATAGCCAAATCCTAGTCTCCACCCAGTTTGTAGGCACTGTGCTTATTCTTTTGAATCAAGAGAGGTTATCACCTACCTTAATCCATGCAGCAGGGTGGATTAAGGACACCAATGTGCCTCAGGATTCTCAAAGAGGATCCTGGAAACTTCTTGTTTCTTCTTTTTTGCTGTCTTTACTAAACTCTATTGGGCCTCAGTAAGGATTTGCATCTGAAATGGGCAACCTGGAGCTTTTCTCAATGAAGACATCAGATCAAAGTTCAGTTAGTCAAGGCCTTTCTAAAACATTAAGGGGGCTTGGAAGTACACAATAAAAAGATGAGCTCTGGCAGAGATTGCAGTAAAAACACTCTGATCTGTAATCCGGATAAAGAATAGATTATAGGCCAAAGAACAGCCCCTGTTTAAATTGTTTTCAGGATCCTCATTTTAAATAAAGGTACTTTTACATAAAAAATTTTGAGAGTTCAGTTTGCTGGACCTCTATGTTGTGCTATGTTTCCTTCTTTAAAATTCTAAGTTGCTGATACATAAATGAAAGCTGATTTACAGAACCTGTTCTTTTAGTAAAAATGATATAACTTTTATAACTATGTGTTGGCCATTTTATTTCTTTTTTAATGCTAAATTAATAATCTGTGATAAAATAATGAAAAGTTGGGGTTTAGTTTGGTTATTCTGTTTTTGTAGGAAAGATACTGCAATGTTCTTATTAGTTATATTCTCTGATAACTGACCAGGCCTAACAGCCAGTAATTAAATTATTTCAAAATATTTACTCTAAACCAAATTATACTAATTGTAACAGTGTAATATTCATAGATCACTCCGAAAGTAATGCCTCCTATTTATGTCCACGAAAACTCCAATCATTACAAAGCACACAGCACTATTTGATAGATGAAATTCTCAACTATAAAACATTCTTTTTCACCACCATTAGCCATATTCACCAGTAATGGACAAGAGTCTGCGTGCCACACTCACTACAGCAGTGGGAGCGACCCACTGTAGGCACTTCTGAAATGCACCACCCACCTCCTCCCTGTGCTCACATCCACTCTTTGGTCTCCATAAATGTTCAGCAAGAATCAGTGGATGTCAATGGGCACAATTTTTTCCACGTGCTGGCATCCAGTGGCACACTTCTGCTTCATCCACGCTTCCATGACAGAAGCCATTTTCTCAAGGGCCCCTTTAGTGCCATACCACCATCTGCCTCTGATGTCATGGGCCAACATCATAAAATAGGAGGCATTACTTTCAGAGGAGCCCTCCCATATGTGGAAAAATGAAGTATACAATAAAATTGTGGAAATACATAGCATGCTTGCTTTCAGAAAGCTAGCTATAAATACATGGCTATATCTGGCATGACTATAGTCTTTTCTGGTATAGTGTTTATTTTATTAACAGCACCAACTTTAATGAAAATCAAATGCTTCATGTAATATTTGGAGCTGAAACTAAATAATTTGCTGCCTAATGTGCAGAAAAAAAATGTTGCAATCTCAGTGTAATAATTCAGCATAAAACATACCTTTTGTCATTCCTGTTTATAGCAAGAATAGCAAATGTTGAAATTCTTTCTTCCTTCCTTCCTTCCTTCCTTCCTTCCTTCCTTCCTTCCTTCCTTCCTTCCTTCCTTCCTTCCTTCCTTCCTTCCTTCCTTCCTTCCTTCCTTCCTTCCTTCCTTCCTTCCTTCCTCCCTTCCTCCCTTCCTCCCTTCCTCCCTTCCTCCCTTCCTCCCTTCCTCCCTTCCTCCCTTCCTCCCTTCCTTCCTTTCTTTCTAAGCTTCTCAGGTTTATTTTTCTATTAATTGGAGATTGTGATGTGATTTCAGGAATGACAGGACTCTTGCTCAGCAGTGGTACTGGGGAAGCATATTTAAAAATTGCTTACCAGTATTCCTTGATCTCTGCGCTTCCGTTCTCAGTCACCAGTAACACTAGAATCATCTTCTAGTACATATTTTCCTTATTTTTAATAATGGTAATCATTAAATGCAGAAGTAGGTAACGTGTCTGTAGGAGAGTGTCTGTTTTGTGTCTTTACTTATCACAGATAATCATCTAATAGATTATTGTAATCGCTGTTGCTGTTTCCACAGACCAGCCCAACAACATCTATAAAGTTTGGACATTATTATGATGTTTCTAAAAAAATGTCTCCAGAACTGCTTCAATCCATAAGATGGCACAGTTTTTTCCTTCCTGACGAATTGCCTTTAGAGCCTAAACTAAAAATGTGGTAAGTTGTAATCCCATGTACCTCTATTGTGCATTCACATTCTGAGTGCACCTTAGTTGTAAGGAATATTTTCTCATCTACACTTGCTGTGAAAAATCTTGTAGCCAGATATTGCTCACAGGTATTTCAGCTGCAGTTCCCATGTCAGCACTACATGCCATGAATGTCAGCAAAGCTACTGTGGCGCAGAAGCAGCTCAGTGTAGTGACTCCTCAGTGGGAGGAAGCAAGTTGGCATAGGCAATTAAGGCAGACATTACTAGGACAGCCTAAGACTCAGCTGAATACTCAGTTCAGCCCTACTGACAGTTGACTGTGGGGACTGAGGAAAACTATTACTGTCTGTCTATGAACTACTCTCTGAGCACCATGCCCCATCAGCTTTCATGAATGTGTGTCAGGTGGCTTTCAGGAATATGAAGATAACCATTCACAGTTTTTAGGGCTAAGACGACAGGCCATCCTTGACCTACATAGCTTAGAATGCTGTATCACATTAGTTTATTATGTGACTTTACCTCTTACATTCTACAGCTTCACCTAAGGAAAGTCCAAAACAAACAAACAAACAAACAAAAAAATCTGTGAGAAGAATTACTCTAATGATGTGTCTTACACAATACCCTAAATTCCAGAGAAAATCATAAACTCTTATCTGAACAAATAACTTACTGTACTTTAAGTCTACCAGTAATGAATTAAGGAAGACCAAAAGAAAGTAAGTGACAGCATCAAAGACTTGTGTTAGCCTGTGGCAAACACATCCATTGTATTTTTCTCAGAGACATTTCAAGTCAAGTCAAATGTAAGATATGGACTAGCAGTTTCTTTGTTTAGCACAGTCACTTGATTTATAAAATATCTAGGTTCTCTAGATCACCATGTATAGGGCCAACTCCCAGAAGCAGTAGTAGAGAAAGCTTCATTGCATAAGATTTTAATTATAGTAGGCCCTAATATAAAAACTGAGATTTATAAAATAAGTGTTTACAGAAGTATTTACAGAAGTGTGCCTTTAGAGTTGTAGAAAAGCAAAAGCCAAGACCCCAAATTTCTGTGTCATGCATTCAGATATCACTGATTTTAGTTTGATAACATGTATTCTTGCTGTGTTATGTAAAAAAGTAGCTGATACACTTTCAGGAAAATAATTCATGTGTATAGTATAAAAAACAGACTTTACCTTTTATGCTTTTGATTTTATAATCTAGAAAACATGTGGGTGATAAACTGAAATTTCATGTAGATGCGCCAAGTACTCCTGTTCTACTCTGCCATGATAAGACTGTACTGTTTTTGTTAGCATCCTTCCAGAAGACTTTGCCTCAGAGGAAAATGTGAAGCTGGGTTTAGATGTAGGGTGGGGATATATGGCCTGTGATGGAATAGTGGAAGTTCTTTAGGTAAATCTAAGAGTCTTAAAGCAAGTTAAAAACTGACATGGCAAGGGCAGTAACTCTGTCATCTGCAGTAAGTAGGATGGGCAGTAATGAGCTACAGTAAATTGTAGCAGTGGTAGTATAGGTGGACATAAGGAAATATTCTTCTGATGATTAGCACTAGGAGAAGTTACCTTGCAGACACAGGCTGGGGGTGCTGTAGAATCTCCATCACTGAAAACTTCTAGGGATAAGTTAGGTAAATATCTGTCAGAGATAGTTTAGACATAGTTCATCTTGCCTTAGGGCAGGGAGATAGACTACCTGACCTCTTGAGGTCCCCTTCATCTCTGCCTTCTGTGACTCTTTAATTCACATTAGTCAAAATGTATTAAATACGTTACCAGTGATTTCTCTGCTTTCAAAACATCTATGCTTTTTCTGAATTGCAACTGGTTTACGTTGTTGTTTTTTTGTTGGTTTTTGTTGTTGTTTTGTTGGGTTTTTTTGTTGTTTTTTTTTACAAATATTGAGATGAAAATCAGAGGAAAGCATTCTTTTCTCAAGGAGCAAAAACAAGCTCTCAATCCTATACGGATGCAGTGCTTCTGGCTTCTAAAGCTAGCTTCGGTATATCACAGAAGGGTAAAAATTTTCTGTTCTCTTGATTAACTAGACAATGCATTAAAAGAAAGATTTAAGTGCTATTGTTAACCCTTCTAAATAGAAGTCAGTAATTTGTCCCACCGAGAGCTAGATCAGGCTTCTTTTACTGCCTCTTACAGTGAACTAGGAACACAGACCTGGCTGGTTAGAATGTCTCACTCAGAGGATGTCATTTCTTAGACAAAAGTTTCCCTGACCTTATGGCCTTACCTTCATGGCCCAAGAAATACCTGGCAGAGTAACTCTTATGATATGTATGGTACTGCAAAAATACTGTAATGTATTTGGGTGAGAGTAACTCAAAGAAGTATTAAAAATGAGAAAGAAACTTTTAAAAAATGGTTGCAAGAATGACTTGAGATTTCAGCAGATCACTAAAAACATGATTTTTTTAAATGTTCTCTGTTTATGCGAAGAAAATGGACAGAAAAAGTGTTATCACTGAAAGATAATGTTACACAAACCTTTCAAAGTGAGGAAGTGCTTTTAAATCTCATATTGTAACCCAGACTCAATGCTGTTGATTTTTTTTTTAAATCTGAGAATGCATTGCTCTTGTCACTGATACAGTGATAGAGGAGGAAGTGGAAACGGATAGTTTTACCTAGTATATAATTTTCCATAATTAGATGATGTAGTTGTTGATGGATGACATCTTTTTGTAGTATCAGAAATAGCAAACAAAAAAAAAAAATTAAAAATTAGCAAATAAAAAAAGTGAGAAAAAGATTTTTTCCATCTTCTCAAAATGCTTCCTCACCAGTTTAGTTAACATGATCCATTCTAAATGTTTGTACTGTAGCAGAGCACAAAATGATTACTTTCAGGGTGAAGTAAATTGCTACAGCCATCTAACTACTGCTATTGCAGGAGCACCTGAAAATATGCAGCCACTGTGGAAAGTGCACCTGATCCAACATATACTTTCTACACAGAGCTGGTAAGCTCTATGTTCTGCAGTGACTTAGCTGAAAAGGACCAAATCATTTTGGTGTTTCTAATTCTCTAGCATCAATTAAGAAAGCTTTGGACTGTTCTTTAGTGCATACACCCTCTGTAATTGCATCTACTGTCTGGTGCAGAGTCATTACCGTACTGCTTTTGCACGGTCAGAGGTTTCAGGGCTTTATATGGGCCAAAAACTTCACTCTTCTTAGAAATCACCTACCTATATCCATGGTGTTGGCTTTCTATCTGCACTAGAATTTGGCATCCTTCTGGACTTGCAAAGAGAAGAGGTTGTCTGGCTGACTGGTTAGTCAGATCTCAGCTACTGACTGGCTTTTCACTTTGCAATTACAGAAGGCCATATTGGAAGGTTCTGTACATCACTTAACTTTTGGAGCAATTCTTTTTTCTTTCTTGTGTTTTTGTGCACATGCTTGTGTTTGCTCACTGAAGGAGCGAGATGAGGAGTACCGTATTTGCTCTCCTTTTTGTAGTTCTGGTACATAATGTGATGGCTAACTTAGATTACTGGGTCTCCTTTTGGAGAATTACTCTAGGTGAGTGGAAGTGCATTGTTCTGTGATAAACATTAACTAAAAGCAGATTGAGAAGTCCTTTTTCATAAAGTAGTAATTGAGAATGGATGTTTGATGCAGAAGAAAGCATCATCCCTCTCTTCCTTAGCTCAGTAGCTGTTAGGGCAGAGCAGTTACGTACTGGCCTTAGTCATGGGACGGGGTTAACAGGGCTGTGCACCTGATAGCAGCTGTTTACAGTTGCTGTTGCTAGGATATTCAGGTGTCCTTTCTGTTGCATTGCTAAAGCTGATACTTAACAGGAAGGCAAAAGTACCATCTCTGATAAGTTAGTGCATCACTGAAGAGGCTTGCTTCCTACCTTCTGCTTTACTTCTGTTCCCATTAAGTTGTAATGACCAAAAATGAAGTGTGATTATTCAGGGAACTTAAATAGTTAAGCTGTAGTTTTTCAATAATACTCCTAAATTTTACCTTAAGAATGTAATTGCTTTTGAAAAAAAAAAAAAAGAATTTGTCTAGAGTCTAGATTTAGAGATAAATTCAGATAAAACAGGTTTAACTGTCTTGGCTAATGGGGTCTCCATATACATAATAAGGCTATTTGTCATACCTTTGATAGCCTAACCTTTGTTAAATGCTTAGAAACTATCAACAGCAAAGTCAGAGGCTCTTTTGTAACCAGGATACCTTCTTGCCAGCTCCTGCTTTACCCATTACTAAATTGATAAACAACAAAAAAAAAAAGAGTTAAGAAAAAATTGTTTAAACTCATTATCAGAATTAAATGGTGTTTAGTAACAAAGCCAAAAAAAGGCTAGAAATTGCAGAATAAAAAATACCTTATTTCCTTCCTCATATATTATGGCAAACATTGCCAGAAGGGTAATGCAACCTGTTTTTATAAATAGCGTTTCCACAATATTTTTTCATGTCCTTATTTACGTAGCATAGTTCAAATTCGAGGAAGCCAGTAATATTTTAGCCAGAAGTAGAAGAGCCACTATTTTTACATTCAGGAGAAAAAAACAGAAAAAAAAAAAAAACAACCCACAACCTGTATGCATCACATTATTTTCTTCAAACCTCTCTTTGCTGCGAATTTTGTGCGTAGATAAACATATCTTCTATGTCTTTGTAAGTCGTTTTATGTCTGTTTGTTTTTTAATTTTTGAATTCTCTGATTTTGGCAATAAAGCAATAAAGTTAAGCATTTTATTCTTCTGTTCATTTTTAAAAGCAAGAATTGCAGAATACACTCTGACTTACACTGTGGATAGCACAACAAGCATTGTAATATTATCCAAAGCAAAACAAGCGTTAGGCGCATCCCTGGCTGTGGCTACCAGGTAGTTGGAAACTCCATCCCTATTGTTGGTGGACAGTAGTTTTCTGTCATTCCCAAGAGGATAAAGGAATATCTAAAAGGATACACAAGTGCTTCTTGTTATTCTGAAGCTCTGCAGATTTGCTCCAGCTCTGGCAAAAGAAGGAAGAAAGTATTGCACTGTATAAACAAGGATCGTGTCGTTCTTAAGTGAACGCTTGGAGAGAGAAAACATTTTGTCTGATGTAGATGCTAAAGCCTGTTTTCTGGCCACCTACTCTGTAAACTTAAACACCTAAGACAGAGCAGGTATAACATTGGACACCTGCTCCTTTTGCAGCTAAGTGATAGGAAAATAATCCATTTCCAAAGTGACACTTTACTCTTGTGTTTGAGATACTCTGTTTTGTACAGCAAGGCAGATGTTACACATTAAAAGTCACGTGGAGATGTGTATTGCCAATTGTTAGCAGCTGTGAGTTTCATACTTAGTATTAAAGTACTAAAACTAAAAGCAAATAAATTGAGTTTAATTTTGAAGCTCTCTCCTTTTATTTCTATATGAAGTGTCATCTGAATGGTTTCTGATATTGAATATTTTAAAACTTGGAGTTATTATGAAAATAAAATTATTTTAATTTGATTGTAGGCACCGATAAATCATCTTGGGGTTAGGGTTTGAGTTGACACTGTTCTTCTAAAAGCATTACAGGAGCCTATGGTAAAGAAACTCCAAATACTCAAAAATTCTTTCCCGTGCAAAACTATGGAAGCAAGCTTTCTCGTGTCAATTTAGATGTTCCGTAGTAAAATCTCAGCTTCACTCAGGAGCCTACCTCAAGTCCAGGCACAAAAGCCAGTATGCTCTTGGGGATTTAAGAACTAGTATGTCTCTTTTTAAAGTGAACAGCTGGCTTGATTTTTTTTTTAAGTGAAGATTAGGACTTTCTGTCCTTTGCCTTTGTCCCCTGCCTGTGGACTGGAGAGCATGGCTAGAATGAGTCTGAAAAAAGAACAAGCATCAGAAAAAATGCATTGGAGGAGCAGGAACTGGAGGCTGCGAGACTTTGAGAGGAAAGTCTGTTAAACTTTCATCTGGTTTTAGCTGCCTGAGTGTAGGCAACAGTTTGCTTTAATTCTTTTTTTCTTTAGGTCTGGGGGTTGTTTGTTTCTTTGGTTTTTAATCTTAGCAGCTGTTTTCCAAATAACACATAAACATAAATTATACCTCACAATTCCATTGCGTTGCAAATGAAGGAGTGCTAACACCTGAGTGGATGGATACAGAATAGATCTATAATAGAACAGAATGAATTTTATGCTCTGTTGTGGTATCAGAAAGATTACTAAAAATAAAAACAAATTATGCTAAATGAACGTTTTAAAGTAAGTGGAAATTTTCTGTTGGTTTTGATTCTTGTAGTGTTTGTGTGTATGAAAGATACAAAATAGAAAGTCAGCCCTGTTCTCCAGGGAACTGACATACTCAGAATAAAAATTGAGTAGCTGTTTGTCTGCTATAGAACTTTAATGCTGTGCTGTAATGGTTGCAGCTTTAAGTAACTACATTAAATCATTGAACTTAAACATGTAAGTGAGCCTGACATAATTATCTTCATCTCTAAGAGATTTACCTTTCACAGAATATCTGAATGCAGAACTAGTTAACGTGAACCAATCACAACTGCTTTTAAGGGCTGCTTTATTCAAAAAGGGTTGTTTTTTTCCTTCTGTGAGACACTCCTACACTGAAAGCTGCATCTGTTTCTATCTATTTTTAATACAGCTATTAGAGAGTATGTGTTACTAAACTATTTCTTCTTTCCAACAGTAATATGAACTGTGGTTATGCAAGGCTGCTTCAGTCCATTCAGAGTGTCATTTGCCAGGAGGGATTTGATGGCTCTCATCCCCAGGTACTGAGCACATTTGTACTCTGCTATCATCCTGAACTGAGATTTTCTGAGTTTTTAAGGGTGGCAAAAGAATGTCCTGGAAAAATTAACAAGGAAGAAGCTGTTTGAAGCTGTTTCTAAACATTGTGGAAGTAAACAAGAAAAGTAACTGGAGATTGTGCCTCATAATTTAATGTGCAGTTGGAGCTTTTTCCTTTTTTTAGCAGATACGCAGAACATTTGAAAAAGAACCATTAAGTCAGGATTACTAAAAAGCACACTCTGTGCAATTAGCTAATAAATGGTTTGCCAAATACAGTGAAATTAAATAAAATGTGCTTTTCACCTACGGAGATCTTTTTTCGAACCATTGTATTAGCAGTAATGTGCTCAAGCTTCTTGAGTCTGAACATTTAGACTTGCAGATTCTTTCAGTGCTGTGAGTGGAGTGAATTTTTTAATGGGTTAAATGGTGTGTAATTTTAGTTCAATTTAAGTATCAAAACATCTTACTAGACTTGTGAAGATCACTCCACATAAATCATCACAGACTTGAAAAGGTCACTTTAGTTTTCATAACCCATACCTTGGGTAATCAGAAATATTCCAAGTCCATCAAGATAGAATTGAATACCTTATTTCTAGTTTGAACAACACCCTCTCCCCTGTTTTTAGGCATATCAAATAATATGCCACTCCTTTCAAGATGATGTAAATGAACTAAGTGATGTTGAGGCTTTATTGATAATTATATTCCTTGTACAACAGGAATATTACTGGAACACAAGTTGATTAGTACAGATAATGTCAAAACAATACAAGACTGTGTGCCACTACAAGTTTAATATCTGAGAAGTGCTTTTTGTGTAGAAAATAACATTGGAGTGGATGTATTCCTGTCTAAGAGTATTTATAGAAGCATTATCCACATAGAATGCTTGCATTTAAATTTGTACCATTAGCTATTTGTGCTGTGTCCCAGCCTGTCCCCTCTTCTGCCACTCCCTGTGGCTGACATCTCCACTGGGACTGGAGAGCTCATGGACTGCAAAAAGCAGCAAGGGACCTCCTCCTGAAGGGATGGGGCTGGTGCTTCCTAGCTGTCTCACCAGCCAAGTCTGACAGGAAGGCAGTGCCTCTGCACATTCCTGAAGTTTGGGGTTTTTTTTTAAGTTTTAAACAAAATAAAGATCTGTGAGAGACGATATTTTTTTTCTTTCTACAGACAAGGAAATGTTAAATATTGTGGGTAGTGGTATTCTGTACTTCTGGTTCATTTTTTCAGAATCTTATTAGAGCCAGTAAAGACCGAAGAGCAAATAAAAACCAGGCAAATTTAAAAGTGTATGCAAATGTGTAAGTCTCTAAGGTGAAGCTTTAAAGTTTGAAAAAGGATTCTTTCTCAAACCATTTTACCTAACTAGATGGCTGTTACCTCTTGTACACTCTTTTCTCTGCCAAAGAAGACAATGTGTATGAATTATTGAGTGCAACCTATTACTGCTTGATTATTTTTCTAAAAAAGTTTCCCCCTTTCCACATGCACTGTGTTTCTCTAAATGCTCACATTTCGTGCATTTGTATAGTATATAACTCACACGTCTCCAAGTCCATCCAGAGTTTGATGTTGTTTTGGCCCAGAACACATCTTGGAATATTTTATGTTCCAAATCCATGCAAAATTTATCTGTTGCTCCATAATCCCTTCTTTAACTTGAGTCTTGAGAAGTAGCTAGAAGTAAGAACAGTAGAATAAGAACCAGCCTGTGTCTTTCTGTGACGGACCTGTGTTCTTTCCTCTGTGTTATAAAAGCACAAGCATTGAAGAAGTGTGTTAATCTACGTTCTTCCACCCAAAACGATGCTCTCTCTTTTGGGTGGGTCCTGTTGGAAGTTTGGGGAAAACTACAAGGGTCTAAATCTATTAGTGAGGAACTGAAAGAGATTTACTACTGACTTTAATAGATCCAATAATCACTGCATGTGAGAGACAGAAGACAACACCTCTAGTGTTAAGTGCTTTTCATATTGCACAGCATAAACTTCCCAAAATCTTTGGGGTCTGAAGGCCTAGAAGGATGTTGCTTTTTGGGTCTGAGTCCAAAGGAAATGTTTGACCTGACTGGTAAAACATTCAGATATTTCTTGCTACTACCCAGGGCTGACCGGGTCCTTTTCCCAAGTGCTCAATCAGGTGTTCAGGCCATGACTCAACACTTCCCACCTACTGTTTGCTGACATAAGTTAAGATCTCCTGTCTGTCCTGTATGATCCTTTGAGCCTTAGGACAGTAACTCTTAGCGGCACTAAGCTACAGGAGGGTTGAAGTTTACCAATGCAGTGACTTCTCAGTTCACACTGTCTTGAACATCTTTACTGAGAACTATGTAGAAATTCAGGGTGTGAATCACCTGTAATCCAGAAATCGGAGCATCAGTTTTTATTGTATTCTTTTAATTTGATTCTTACAATCTCTCTGCAGGTTTTTTTTTACTGCTAGTCACTAATGTGAGTCCTTTTTACATTTGGCATGGTTATGCATGCTCATTCATCTCAGAATTATTTTCTTTTTATAATACTTGGTAGCAGAACTTTCACAGGCAACTTTTTTTCATTAACACTTCTTTGGTATACTTTGGAGCTCAAGTTTTTGTGTAAGAAAGGAGAGAAATGAGAGGAAAAACAGTAATGTTTTAGGATTCTCTTTCAGAATATACTGTATGTAACCAGCTGGTTAGCTTTAGAAATTGCACATTAGTAGTTTTGCATTTTTCCACGCTGACCTGTTATTCTTGTATTTAATTATCTAATGTAGTGTGTTATCCAACTAGTAAAAAAAAAACCAAAAACATTCCAACTGTAATTTTCACCAAGATCACCTGAGATTAACTCGTGATTACCTGAACTACTGAATTATTATGGGTATTCATTCTATAAATTGTAGTAGTTTCTAAAATTGTATACAATGTGGTATTTTTCTCCTAATGGTTAAAAAAATAACAAGTGTTGTGTTCTTCTTTCAATAGAAAAAACAAAAGAATATTTTACGGATAGGAATTCAGAGTCTTGGTTCCCTGCTGTGGGACGATGACATTTGTAGCACCAATACTCCTGAAGATATTCATAGCATTACAAAATTTCTGTACATTCTACGTGGCTTCCTCCGAAAATCTTTATCGGCTTGTATCATCACAGTGCCCTCTCACCTTATTGAGGTAAGCCATCTATCTCTGCTAAATGTTGTAGTTGATGCTACATCGGTTAGCAAAAATTAGAAGTTCATGGGGAAAAAATAAACACAATTCTAAAAATTGAGGAAGCTCTTTTGATTCAAAGGGCAAAGTTAAACAACGGTGGTTTTCCTACATTTCTGTGGGACAGTCATGCTGCAAAATCAACGAGCACCTTAGCATAAAACAGTCCTAAATAGTTATTCCTTCTATCAGTCATAGTCAGAAATTTCGAGCAGTATCAAGCAGAGAAAACTCTGCTAGGAAACTTTATTTCTAACACATTTTTATACCACCTCAGAACACAGTTTAGAGTTTCAATACAAGGCATTTTAATCCACTGCCTTCATCTGTCATACACATCAGGATGATGTATGACTTTGTTTTTAAAGCCAGGAATTGAAAGATACAGGTTTACTCTTTAATATTCTGGTTTGTTGGGAGCAGAAACAAACCAGGTATTATTCATTACTGATTATAATAAAATAATATGGAATAAAACCTCATATTATAAATGGTTCCCTTCATCATAGAAATGAAATTTTCATTGTTGAATTAAAATATTGTATTATGTAAGTAAGTACATCATTCTCACATACATACTGCATTTTTAAAAAGTGTTTGAGTACCTGCTGATGTTATTTAGGTGAATACCTGAACCACATTTTGTCCTGCACAACTCCATCCCTTTACTTACATTTTTTAATATTAGATGACAGTATGTCTTTAAATAGGGTGATAGTAAAACTTACTGCAATAACTGGAATTTGTGGATCTAAAACTAACTTCCTTCTTTTGAAACACTGGGATTTCCTGTCTGTCACTGAGACATAGAACCTATGTTATTATACTTTTTACATATTTTAATATATCAGTGAGAGAGATCATATTCTACAGAAGTCCAGAAATGTCTCTGGAGCAAGTTTTTCTAAGAAACAAATTGAAGGATATAATCTTTTGTTTTTCTGTCGACTTATCTGGGGAGTTGTTTTTGTTTTCCTTTTGGTCAATTCTCTATAAATCCATTCCCCCAGAGTTCCTATGAAATTATGTCTCATTTTGTAAATAACTTCTGATTTTGAATTTTAACAGGATTACTTTACAGTAAGTGACAGAATATTCTGAAGGGGGAAAAAATGAAATGTGGTTTCCCAAATCTTCACAGCCTTAAACAAATTCAAGCTTTACTTTTTGTTGTTGTTGTTTTTAAAACTGTTAAACTTCATGTATCCTTCTTTAAATACTAAACTGTGGAGAAAACTGTCATTAGGAGGAGCAAAGCTGCTCTGAGGGTTCCTTATACCCCACATTACTCAGTTCCCAGAGCCCTGCTGTGTAGTTGTTCCACTCTCCAAGAAGCCTGTTAAAGAGCCCCTGAGAGCATGTGTACAGCCCTCCATGTTAATAGTTAATTGGTGAGGATGGCAAGATGAGAGGACAGCCGAACATGTGGTCTCTCAGGCTCAAGCCGTAGACAGACCTTTAGTTATAATAACAGCAGCTGCTCACATTCTCACAACCCAGCTACTCACCATTTTGTTGCTGAGGTTTCTTACTGGATGAAAAAAGTAAAGAAAATATCTTTTCAAGAGGACAAGAGAGAGCATTTGTTTGGTGTTTTGATGGTTTTTTGTTTTTTCCTAGTGTGTTTCTGTATATGTATTTAATTTAATCAGAATAAGTTGTAGCATATGCTTTCTCTGTTAAATCTTAAAGCCAGCTGAAGGCGTAGGAAATGCATACTGTTATCCTGAAGATGTAGTAAATTCCACATTTATTCCCTGAACAATTATCTGTATCTGCTGTATTATCTTTTGCTTCCTGACTATATTAATTAAGGGAGTCTGCAAGTAAAATCTTCACATAATAAGAAAATACAAGATTTCAAAATGTGAAGTGTTACCAAGTTATCATGTTTGCATAATATTTACAGAGAAATAGTTGCTTTTGAAAAAATAGTTTTCATTCATATCTCAGGCCATGCCTTGTCCCTGACAGCCAGTTACAGTTACTCTGGTGAAGAAGAAATAAAACTCACACTTGACACTACTGAATTTCAACAGGGACGATGCTATTCCAATCCAGCCCAGATAGTCTGTATTGCTGTGTGCATTTAATAAAGTACTTATCTGTGTAGTTAGTGATTCGCTTCCTTTGTATATTTTGCCAAGTACTTGTCATGTTGCTGTGTGACAGGGAGTTTGCAAATTAAATCTGTGTAGCTTTTTTCTTTCAAAAAGTTTCATTTTGCCTGTACATTTCAGAAATTATATCTTTGTTCTTGGATGATAAGACAGTGAGATGAAGCTCCCTATATACCTCGTGTTCTCATTGTTTTGTATATTCTCCCATGCTGCTTTCTTAATATGTTTTTAAGCAGTCTCCTTTTTTTCAGCCATAACTCACAGTCGTGGAGTACAATAATGCTCTTATTGTTTGTTCACTTTTTCCTACATGCTTATATATGCTTTGTCTCTTCAGTGTCTGCTGAACGTTAAACAGTGATTTTGTTTGTGATGCTTTTCCCTCTGTGCTACACATCTACCAGTATGGATCTAATCCACCTAGTTCACTGCTTTGCATTTAGTAAGTTTGAATTGCATTTGTCAGAATATGATGCTCATTCCCCCAGTTTGATGGAACACTGAATGTCTTCGCAGCCTTCTGTAAAGATGTATTTTGGGAAAAGACACAAATTTACAAAGAATCTGGTTGTGTACAGAGTTTTTTCAGAGTAAGTTAATGAAATTGTAGTCCCCTAAAGAGCACAAATTCTCTGTTTTATTGATGAAAGTGCAGTACATAAAGAAAAACAAATATTCTATTATTTTCTCTATCACAAAACCAGAAATACATTGTTCTGGAAGCAAATTTCAAGAAAATGACTTTAAAAACTTAACCGATTAGAAATTTTATTCAGATGATAACTGACAAGTTTTTCTTGATTGATATTTTCTCCTGATTGAACATACTCTTATTTTACCCTGTCTGTCAGGTAATAAATATTGAGATATTTATGAATGTGATTAAAACAGTTGATGGAAGGTTATTTGTCAAGGTTTTCTACTGCTTCTTGAAAATGAATTGTGCCTCTGAAATAAGATGGTGCATTTGAATAGGGTAAATTAATTACATTTTTAAATCTAGCAAAAATGATCAGGGTGGGCAAATTGTACAGGGATTTAATTTGTTGTTGTACTTTCCAAAATAAGAAATATTATCAAAACTAGAATGGACTCCTGCTTTCTGTATTTTGACAATCTGCATTTTTAGTACATAGTGTTAAAAAAATTATTCTACAGAATGTGATTTTAACGTCACTGTTTTATGTTCACAAAAAAGTTGAAATGTAAAATACTTTCATAATTCCATTCTCCTTATTTCCAACTCTGTATCACTTAAGTAAACAGTCAAGTTCATGAATATGTATTTTTTAAGTAGATTATTGTTTCCATTTGAAGACGTGTAACGCTTTCATTGAAGCCACCCTTTATTTTGAACGTGAAGCTGTATTACTGGTAAGGACTAACCACCATATTAGTCAGTGTGTACCAAGGGAAATTAATTGACTAATGAAAAGTCAGTATGGATAAGTCGCAGAAGTTACAGAACCTGTCCTCTGAGTCTGAAGTCCTGCTTAGTATTTTCGTTATTTCATCCAGCATGTTAAAAAATTGATTTCCTGCAATATTAATGTTTTGATGCTTTGAATTAACCGGGGTGCATAAATCACTGTATGTTTCAGTGTAGAAAAATTCAGAAGCAAACCTTTTTGCATTCATAGCCTTTTGAGTTCACAGTGAGAGCTTTAGCAGCTAAACTTGAAGTCAAGCAGTCGTGCTTTAGAATCCATTCAAATACAGAATTGTGAATTTCTCGGTTTGAAATCTGTATTCCTATGGCAGGAGCCAAGACTGCATTCCCTAGAACTCTACCTTCTGTGAGTTCACAAGTGTAAAATGCTCAATAACCTTCAGGTACATTTGTGAATGTAAATATTAAGCAGCAACTGTATTAAGATTAAATGTCACGTATTTTTCTATATCATTAGTTGAATAGGCTTTCAAAATCCTCTTCTGAATAGAAACTATGGAGATGAAATGGTCTTTATATTTTACTATACTGTTGTTTGTTTTTTTTCCTTTTAGCTGTGGCATACTCAGTTGTGTGAAAGAAGTACAATTTAACTTCCATACAAAGAAATGTTGAGAGTCATGAGTTTATGGCAGTTATTCTTGTGTTTCTCATATAGTTTTCAGATGGGAATATTCTGTTTTGGATATCCTGGGCATTCATAGAAGCATCTTAAAATTATAATCCAGTAGCAAGTCCAAAGACACCTTAAATATATATTAAAATATAAATTGTGTAAGAGTAAAACATTTTGCTTCTAATTTCTATTATTGTTCATAGCATTTACTTATCAATTCACAGAGATATTTTCTTTTCATAAAATAAGTTTATGGCTGCCAAGAGGCTATATCTTGGCTCTGCCACTTCTGATTTGGTAACAAATACTCATTTCAAGCACAAACACATTGTTCATCTGAAACATGTTTTTGCACCCATATTAGCTGTCTTTTACCTAGCTATATTATGTTGATGACTAGTCACTTTTTGGGTTAAAATGTATAACTAAAAAAGCCTTCTCATTTTAATACGTTACAATTTAGAACACTATAAGCACGTTCTTATCACCGTAAGCATCAGCACATATTTAATCACAAAATTACGCTTCCATCATGATTATGTTAAACTTTAAAATGTGATGAGTATATGCAACTTGAGAATATCTTTTATTTATGTAATCTGAAAATACAGACATTGAAACTTCAAGAAAAATGAGGTGCTGTTTAATACCAAATCTTTCAAATGCAGTGTTAGATCTAAACAGTTAAATATCCCATCACAGTATGAAGATAGTCATCTGTTCAAGCATATGGAATCTTTTGGCTTCTGGACTAAGTAGTTAATATAATGCCCAG